GCCATACTTAATTAGTCTTTTTCTAATTGTACTATTATAAACTTTAACATTTAACATGCTTACTGAGCCCTGTAGAATCTGAGATGCAGCCCTTGGGTTTTTTCACAATTTCTCTGAGCATTGCTTGGTCTGACCTTGGGGTGAATTTGCTGGGATGACCACTCCTGGGAAGATTAGCAACTGTCTTGAATGTTTTCCACTAGTGAATAATCTTTCTCAGTGTAGAATGATGGACTTCAAATTGTTTGAAAATGGCCATATAATCCTTCCTGGATTGATGGGCAGCAACAACTGCTTCTCTAAGACAGTTGCTGATGTCTTTCTTCCTTCCCATTGTGCTAACACATGATTGAATGCTCCAGACCAGCAACATTTCTGCTTTTATAGAGCTGGTCACACTTGCTGATGATCAATTAATTAAGTGCATTTGATTAGCAGCCCATGGCTGCTACTTACCCTATTAATTCCTATGGAAGCAGTACTCAATTTTTCACACACACACTGCTTCTGCATTTTGGCTTACATTTTTGTTAAATAAATAATGACACTGTAATTTGTCATGTTGTTCATATGAGGTTGTATTTACCTAATTTTAAGACCTGCTAAGAACACAATGATTTTTTAATTATGTCTTGATACATAAAACCTTAGAATTGACAGAGGGTGTACTTTCTTTTTCACATGACTGTACATTCTTAAGGATATTCAGCAGTCAAATTTGCACACTGTTTCCCTTTGTGTAGATTTCATAAAGTAGGTCATGTCATCGTCCAGGAGTACACACAGTCTATGGGCACCCTCTGACTTAGCTGCATGTGTCTGGGGAATGGTAAGAGAAACTCAGGGTGACAGTGATTACCACACTACCCAATTTATTATATATATTTTTTAATATTTTTCATATTATGCACATACTGCACCTTGAAAAAATACTCAGGCCCTACATTTGTTTTGTTGTAGAATAAGCTGAAAAGATAATTTGTTAATAATAACAAAAAAAAACAGAAAAAGAGTACATTTAATAAGTATCCCTGTACCATCAACAGCAAACTTGTCCCATTGCAATAATTTAAGTAAAAGTCATTGGTGTGTAAGCAAAGCTGCATTTATGGCACAAATCAAACACTGCACACCAACCTAGAACCCCCCCATGGTAAAATATGACAGTGATGGTGTTTAATGTTACAGGTTTAGGGGGTTGTCTGTGTCTGTGATCGGACGGTTGTCGGCTTCAGCCCGGCCTCGGCAGAATAGTCACACATGCGTGGGCCCTAGAACAAGCCCTTCATCCCCAACCATCTGAATGCTGCAAGGTGGCTGACCCTTCAGTGTCACCCCAAGCTTGTTCTCACCTGTGTGGAAAAATGAAAAGTTTCTCACAGGGATTAATAAAGTATCACTAAAAGCAAATTAGATTCAAGAGCAGGTTTTAGTCTCTTTCTGTTTGCAAAACATTCTTTGTTCATGAGTGTTTCTTTGACTCTGTCTGCTTCTTCTCACCAGACATGTCTAATAACATTATTTGTGGCCGGTTGTCAGAATCATTCTTTATTCTGAGCTGCATCATTAGTCTTCATTTCCAAACTAATGTTCCTAATACCTAGCTTTACACGTGTCCCTCTGTTAAAGATGATCCAATGCAGGTCCTGCCCTAAGCTTAGGTCTAACCCATCTGAAAGCATAATTTCCTACCCCATACAGGCCTGACTGGACCAGGAATGCAGTCTGGTACCATATCTAGGAGGCAACGAGATTCCATTCCCTGTGAAAAAAGCCTTTGTTGTGCCACCTTTTGCCATCATAATGTTATCGCATGTTTGATTGTAATACAAGACAAAAGAATATACTGTATGTGAAGTAGACAAAAATGAAAACAACAGAAATTCCACTCATCACACTCTTGTGAGTTATACAGTTAACTTCCATGGGTTTCAGGAATAATAATAATAATAATAATAATAATAATAATAATAAGAAGAAGAAGAAGAAGAAGAAGAAGAAGAAGAAGAAGAAGAAGAAGAAGAATAGTATAGTAGTACTTTATCAATCCCCGTGGGGAAATTCTCTTTACATCTACCCCATGCTGCTCTCCATAAGAGACACAGACACACGTACAGGTGAGAGCAAGCTTGGGTCACAGCAAAGGGCAGTCACCTTGCAGTGTCCCTAGAGATGGAGGCTAAGGATCTTGCTCAAGAGTACAAGGACATTTGATGATAATAATAATAATAATACAGTCGAACTTCGTTACAACGTACCTCGGGGGAATTAAGAATTTGTACGTTATAACCATAGTACGTTGTAACCAAGTCCCTCAAAATGAATGATAGAACACAAAATGTATATAAAAAAACTTTTAGAAAACACCCCTCAAGTAGACACTATGACATACAGCTTGTGTAGTTTGAAGAATATAATAGGAACTATATTCTTCAAACTAGGTTAATATCAGTTACTCATAGACAGCCGACATAATGCAAAATCCACTGCCAGCTTATCGTTCAAATCGCCTTACTGTAACCTAATGTCAAACCGAAATTATGCACCTGTATATGATTCAATTGGCTGAAATAAATTTCGATACATGTGTTAGACATCTGTCTTTTGTTAATTTCTTTCACTATATGTCACACAATTACCCCAATAACCACACAGTTTCAGAACTTAGTTTGCGTCGGCAGTATAAGGCTGCCATGTATAATTCTGAACTATTTCCACCTTGTCGGTCAGCGAAATCCGTTTCCTTTTAGCAGGCATCTTGCTTGGTTCAGCATGACACCATGCAAAACCATGAAAAAACGGGGGCTGCATGCAAGGAGTCTGGCCGGCGTGGAATGCTTCGTGAGGATAGGTTCATACAGTTAGGCGTTGCTAAGCGATGTAGATGGCCGGCAACAGCCGATTCTGAATTGTGCGCGCGCTCGGAAGATGAGGCTGTACGTTGTAACGAAGGTCAATTTGCCTATTTTCCTCTGAAAATCATACGTTATATCGAAGTTTACGCTGTAAAGGTGTACGTTCTAAGCGATACCGGCAAATGGAATAATGCATTACGCGAATTCGGGACATCGAAATTTGAACGTTGTATTGGTGTAAACGTTATAAACGGGGTACGTTGTAACGAGGTTCGACTGTAATAATATTATCTCTGTTAGCTAGGTGTCATATGTTTAGGTAAGGAGCATTCCTCTTAGGTAATCAAGACTTTAGCTTAAATTAAGCGAGCTAAATGAGAAATCCTGCTTTGTGGAACATTCCCCAGGCAGAAGGCAAATCAATCAGGCAATTTCCATCCACTTTCTACCAATTCTCTATAACCGTTTGTCCTATTCAGGATCGCGAGGGGTTTGGAGCCTATTCTGGAGGCTATGGGCACAAGGCTGGGAACAACCCAGGATAGGACGCCAACCCAAAGTAGGGCACTCATGTAATTTCATTTTATTAATAGAATGAAAATTAGTCATATAAAGTATCTCATATCCATATGCTATGTGGACAAAACTATTGGGACAGACCACTTAATTAAAATCAGGTGTTTCATTCAGACCCATTTCCACAGGTGTATAAAATCAAGCACCTAGCCATGCAGTCAAGTTTACAAACATTTGAGAAAGAATGACTTCTTATATATTCCACAGGCATCTGTAAGTGGCACTATTGCAAAGTGGAAGCATTTATGAACTATAGAAACTCTATATGTGAAGTGGCACACCATGTAAAGTAACAGAGCGCATTCGCTGAGTGGTGAGGCACATAGTGCGCAAAAGTCACCCACGCTCTGTTGACAAAATAACTGCAGAGTTCCAAACGTCCTCTGGCATTGACCTAGTGCAATGCCAAGCGTCGGATGGAGTGGTGTAAAGCACACCGCCACTGGACTCTGGAGCAGTGGAAATGTGTTCTTTGGAGTGACGAATCACACATCTCTGTCTGGCAGTCTGATGGATGAGTCTGGGTTTGGCAGATGCCAGGTGAACGTTATCTGCCTGACTACATTGTGCCAGCTGTTTGGTGGAGGAGGGTTAATGGTATGGGGTTATTTTTTAAGGGCTGGGTTAAGCCTCTTAGTTCCAGTGAAGGGGACTCAATGCTTCAGCACACCGAGACATTTTAGACAATTCTATTCTCAGTGCACAAAGCAAGATCTATAAAGACATAGTTTGATGAGTTTAGTGTTGAAGAACTTGCCTGGGCCACACAGAGCCCTGATCTCAACCCCATCGAATACCATTGGGATAAACTAGAACAGAAATGTGAGTCAGGCCTTCATGTCCAGCATCAATGTCTGCCCTCACAAATGCTCCTCTAGACGTATCACAGACACACTCCAATATGCAGAAAGCACATACTAACACTTGTATTTGTGTATAATAATACTGGCAGGCCTGTGCAAATTTGTAGTTTTTGTTTTGTAATAGTATTGGAGTATGGGCATGTACTAAACAAAATTAAAATTTACTGCTGCGTATAACAACAACAATAATTACATAATAATAACAATATTAATAATAAGAAGAAGAAGAAGAAGAAAAAAAAAAGTTGGTAACACAACTTGAGGGGGCACTCATAATGTAGTGGTACTCTCTTATACTTTATGTGTTAATTAACCAAAAAATAACTTAGTTATGTACTGATCCCATGTTCATTCATAATAAGTTAATCATGACGGTTCATGTATTTTGTGCAGGAACTATATTGGACCATGATTTGTTCTTGATTAGTATCTGAATAACCAAATTATTTGTCTACCCTCAAGTAAAGTGTTACTTAAAAGTTTAGAATAATTTGGGTGAGCTTGTATTTTTATGATGGGAAGAATACTTATTTCATGAATTACTAACACAGTTTTGTTCCTGTAGTACTGATGCCTGGATATGTAGCTCTTCAGATCCAAGCACACCAAACCAGTAGACCAAGTACCTACAACAGGACATCAGATGCAGGTTAGAGCCTGCATTAGCCTTTAGAAGGAACAGGAAGCTCACAGAGCCGGTCAGACCAGCATGGCATTCATTCCTGACAAGACTGCAGAACCTGCTTGCAGAGTCTGCTGAGATGCAGCTATATAAAGAGCGGCGTTCCACAGCCACGCCAGAGCTGCGGTGTGAACTCCTTAAATCTACAAAAGGTAAAGTTGTTAAATGTTGTGCTGGAAAATGTTAAGTTGTTTTCAACGTTTGTTTCATTTGTTGTCTTATTTGTTTTCCTTGTAGAAGAAAGATGCTGCATTTAAAGCCTTCACCAATGTGCTGGTGTGACGTCCTTTGGTCAAGTGGTTCTTAACAGTTCAACAGTTCTTTACCAAAATTGTGAAATGTTTAGGACCACTTGATCAGGGTGATGATTATGTTAAAGAGTGAAGACAAGAGACACATCAAAGAGGACACTTAATGAAAATAAAATCAGTGCCAAAGAACTTGTGCTTATGTCTTTAAAAATGTTTCAGTGCTGACGCTACTATAGCTGCCTCTGGATTTTTCATTCTAGTTCATTCTTTATTAGTTGATTAATCAAGCATAGTTAAATTTATATTTGGTTAAATAATTCAAGCTGTAAAAGGTTAGTGGATATTAGGGGACATCGTCATGTTGGGATTAGAGTTTTCCCCATAGAAATTAATGGAGAGTCCTCACAAAGATATAGTTACAAACCTCTGTGTGCATGTGTGTATTATTCAGTTAAACAACGAATAACTTAAGCAATATTACATTAGGATGAGAAACATGCCTGTATGTTTTTAATAATCTCTGCCGGGTTCTTTTTAGTTAAGATTTATAAGAAAATGTATTGCCACTGCACTACAATGCACATGACATCTGACAAGACATTCCTGATTACTTAATAGAAATTAGAAATTCATAACCATGTAATTGGCCATGTCAAGTGCATGATATATAATGCCTGGATGACTGATGGCCAATTCCTGGTCCTCAGACAGGTATCCGGGTGAAGATTTAATATCTGCAGCAATAACTTACTCAGAAGTGATAAGCTGCCTGTAATGAGCATCTGATAAAGACGGCAAAGTTTCCTTTTGTATCTAAAAGCGAGTCACCCTATGAGAACTTTAGTTAGCATTAGCATCAGGGTAGGTAGCACTATTGGCTCACACTTTTAGGCCAGGAGATTTAAATCCCTTCCCAAGTTCTCCCTGTGTTACATGGGTTCATCCAGCTGAACTGACATCTCTAAACTGGGATTCCATCTGCCTCATGTCTTGTGCTTCCCAGCACAGTCTCAGCACAGACTCACTGTAACCTTATAATGGGCATGTGAGATAGATGAAAGGATGCTACTGATATGACTTTAAATGCATACATACAGGATGTCAAGCACACTGCAATGGAAAATGGATTTACACATTTCCAGTGATGTCCCCGAGCTGATATCAAAGATTAGAAACAGAGCCGATCCAGTCATTTTTGATACGACTGGTATCGGTTGCTAAAGCCTGACTCAAAGCCTGACCTATTTAATTTCTGCCTACTTTATGTCAGTTGTGCAGATTGTAAGGTTCCATCACATGCTGCAGTAAGCGTTCAAGTTCATGTGGCTTGAAACTGTTAACTATCGAGATGTTAGTCATGTCGAAATTTGTTAAATTGGAAACTCAAAGTAGCCCAATAGCTAGGTTTTCACTGCCATCCTTTTAAGAGGTGGTAGCAACAGAGTGTCGTTTAATGCAAGGGATCTAGTTAGGCATTTGCAGAAACATCATAAGGAAGAACACTGTGGTATGGCAAGGCTTACAAAGACCAAGAATGTACAACACCTACTGTATGTATAAATGTATTAAAATATTTATTAAAAGATCAGATTGGGACTTGGAAGATATAAATATTGAATAGATCAGTATAGATCAGGGTATCAAAAAGTGAATTGGGGCATCCCTATACATTTCGGACACAAATGAGTGCATCCACAGTTGTTGTGCACAATACTACCAGATAATGAAGCCAAAATGAAGAATATCTGGTTCCGGAGTCTTTGAAAAACAGTTTTAAATCTAGAGTGACTTTTTAAATATTATCCATCCATCCATGCTCAGCCTCTTTCTAGAAACGGTAATGGGACTTTTTGATATCAGTCTTTCAAAATTCATCAGCTTATTTAGATGAAATGTTTTGACATTTGAAAAAAAAAACATTTGCTGATCATTTTATATTACTTTCTTAGATAAATAACAATCTTATGAAAATTAAATTCAGTATTAGACATTTGACAGTTAGTATCCAGTAAAGCAGTTTTACTAAAGCATCCCAAAAATTGTAAAAAACTGGAAATGTTATCAAGTTTAAAAACTTTAAAGACACTATCATCCATCCACCTAGCATCATTGCATATCCAGTACAAAGTACAAACAATGAGCTTAGAGTCTATCCCAGGAAACACAGGCCTTAGTGTCACTGCAAAAGGTGAAAAGAATGAAATAACAAGCACAAAGCAAGGTACAGTGATGTAAACAAAAGGCCACACCCTAAATGGCAGCCACTCACATGGTCAGGTCTTCTGCCTGTCAGTCATTTCCTCTGCAAGAGTCAAGTCAGTGAGTATTCAGTGCTGATAAGACCAGGGCTACTTACTCTCAGAGATAGAGATGAGCAGGACTTTACACTGTGGGTAGATAGATAGAGCCAGAGACAAAGCCTAATACACTAAACAAGGCTAGGCAGTTAGCAAACAAAATGCAAAATACAAATAAAACGTCAGCACCAGAAAAATTAAACAAATCCAATTCACAGAGCCAAGCAGAACACAAATTTGATAGAAGCAGAACACCACATATTTGATTGCACACAATGAGGCCTGAGGGGTGCACTATGAAGTGAGTTTATGAGTTTAGTGATGTTGGGATATGCAGTACTACTGATATCAAGTCATACCAAGGCTTTTGTCTATCAAAAGGCATCTCTTATCAAGCTGATAACCACAGTCATAGTGCCATTTACCTAGGGCTCCCAACTCTCATGCATCTATTGTGACACTTGCACTTACTGACTCTCATGCAATAAATCTTACAGCAAATCTATATTATTCCATTATAAACCTAAAATTAGCTATATCAAAAGCATTTGGGTATTTTGTAAACCCTACAGACCATTTACAAGGTAATAAAACTGTTACGTACACGTAAATGTGTGTGCTGACCAAAGTTGGCAACCCTGCATTTACTGCCAATTGTGGCAGTTATGGTTAGTTAACCCCTGTCTATCCAGTTA